GTTAAATTGTTTGAACTGAAACGGAACATGTTAAAGTGAGTAGAAGAACTTTTCAGGAATATTGAAATCATATTAGGATTAAATAGAAACGTATTAGAGAACGTCTAAATTTACACTTATGTCATTCCAGTTCATGAAAGCTTTTGAATACAGACCTAAGGTTCTTGTGAGATTTTATTTAAGCGTTATACCAAAAATAGACAGCGGGTAACACCAAAACTCTGTTGCATTTTCCTGTCACTAATTTATAAATTTCTGTTGCAACATTACTTCTATCACAAACTAACCACCAAATATGGAACCCTTAATTGAAACGCAGACCTTTCCAACAATATGTATTTTGTCAAGATTATAAAAAGTTTTGATTATAAAATTGTTGTAAATTTTGTAATATGACATCACCCACTAGGGGGAGAATCCCGCTAAAAGATTTTAAAGTTCCATTGGCATTTCCATGGTAACACAATGGCTGCTTTCAAAACGGGTTTCAGAAGATTAATTGTGTGTTTAAGCTTTCAAATGATATCTAATTTACGATGATTACTAAAATATGTGAAAAGGAAAAAAAGATCAATTACAAAAAAAAAAGAGACACCAGCTGGGTTAAGATGTAAAGTTTGAATGTGTGCAAGTCCAAAGAGTTTGAAAAGCTACAATGTTGTGGAAATTTTTCATCAAATTACAACATAAAAGTACTGCATGTCTTCAGAAGATAGTGCATGATTTAAATGGGCAACATTTATAGTTCTATTATGGCACTTTGTTGAAAGTGTTGGGGGAAAAAACATGGTTTAGAAAGCCCTGTGATGTACTGGCCACCTGTGCAGTGTATTTTTCTGCCCTTGGTTCAAGACGCTGGGATAGAAACTCTAGAACTCCAGTACTCCTGCAACCCTTCAGAACCGGGAAGGAAGATTGTTCGAGCCCAAACAGGAGTCGTCAACTGTGGCCTTTAGCAAGACAGTTATGTTACCTGCTATGTGTTACCATCTTTATGTAAAACTTCTCTTAATCTTTAAAAATGCACAACTAAGTTTTTGACCTCCTGGGAAACAAGAGTTATATGCATATGCAACAGAATGATTACACTTAAATATGGTCAATATTTCAAAAATTAACTGCCTTTTACCAGGTACCTTCCGATTAAAACACCACTGTACCCACCACTAGATGGAAGCAGAGGACAATATTCACTTCCTTCTGGTTCACCAGAGAACAGACTTTACTCGTGCTGCAGAAAATTTGAAATGGATGCAAAATAAATGTTACATTATAGTAATTTTTATTTATTGTTATCTTGTTATGCATCTTTATGTTTATTGTTATCTGAATGCAGACTACTGCACAGTTTTCACTTTGCACTGTAAACTATATTAATTTGTTTTGAAAGACAAATGCAAAGCAGTCATTCTTGAGAAGTGGGACAAAACAGGGTGCAATTGAAAAAATAAAACCTTGCACTCAGACAAATGAAACTACATTTATGTATCTTATATGTACTAAGCTACTGAGCTATGCTTTGATACAACCTCCCAACTTTTCTCTTTTTTAACAAAATTTGCTTTTTTACCTTGGACTGTGTAATATAATTTCAGCTTTATCTTTAACAGCATTCAAGATGTTTTTAACATTTCAAAACACATTCTCGTGTTAGCAGACAGATTACACTTTCACATGTGACCAACAATTCCACAACAAATATAAAATATCATAATGAAATATTATCAAAATATTCAACTGACGGTGTCATTAAAAAAACAACCTTGGTTTGATAGGAGATATTATTAAGTGTTGCTTTTGATAAAACAAGCTCTTTTTCATCATTAAAAAACATTTTTATCCATTTTATTGCATATGAATGATTGAACCCTTCTCTGTGGACACACTGTTTTAGACGTAGTGAGAGGACATTAAGAAACACAGATTTGGTATAATAATGAGAAAATTAAATTGAAGGTGATAATTGTGTTAAATACATTCTATTATTAATCCCTCATGACACTTAAAATTGAAAATATTTTTAATTTTTAAAGCTAATAGCAGTTACCCTTGCTGGACCTGTTTTGTCCCACGTCTCAAGAATGACTTAGAAGAATACCTGAACACACAAGATTTCAAACGGATTGACCATTAAACATTTTTTCTTTATTTTGAGATAATTTAATTATAAATTGTACATCTTCGGTTTCCTTATTTAGCTAACAAAACTATCTTTGTATCAATTTAACAAGTTGCCCATCAATAGACCAATTTCAGTGTTTGCAAACAGTGATGACATTTTTTGTGGGCTATCTGGTGGCAGAAAATGACAGTTTTAATGTAGCAGTCTATTCAAGCCATGGAATAAAAGAATAAAAAATGTAATTTTGAGTTTATATTTCAAAATTCTGACTTTTTTCTTGCAATTCCGAGATTATATCTCACAATTCTGGTAAGAAAATCAACTCATCATTTTTTTTTTTTAGTTTATAATCCCACACTTGTGTTTTTTTTCCTCAGAATTGACAAACTCGCAATTGTTGAGTTGAATCAAGTTATAAAGTCCAAACTAGGAGATATAAACTTGAATTTGCAAGAAAAAAAGTCAGAATTGTGAAATAAAATAGTTAAATGTTATGTAAAATGTTATAGGTTTAAATAGTATTTCATGCATGTATTTCAACTGTAGGGCTAATACAATATGTCCCTTATATGAATATTATATAGACCTTTTGTTTAAATCAAATTTATGCTTTAAAAGTAGGGTAATCATAGCAGGTTTCATCCATTTTGTCCATTTAAACGTCTGCGTTTAGCTTCAAATGCCGTCTTTGACGACAGTATTATATAAAAAAAAAATGATTTGCATTCCGATTCTGCATCCAAAGGCACAATAATAAATTTTTTCTCTTATTGCATGGATTTTACCCGTTTCCCTCCATTTGTTCCCAGTGTTTTTATGCCACCACAATGAATGCGTGCGCAGCTGCAAGTGACGTAACTGACGTCTACTCCAAATTGGTCTATATACTTCATATACTATATGGCACAATGTCAAGTTAAAAAGAAGCACAAGTATAAATTACTGAAGGTAATACTCTTAAAATTAAAATAAATAAATATAAATGACAAACTATAACCAAGAATCTTGCAACAATATTTCTACAGGTACTATTCTGTCATCACTTCCACATATTTCATTAATCAGGCCATAAAATGCTTATTATTATTATTATTAAAACTTTTAAAATAAAAAATTAAAGATGTCACAGTTTTGTTCATGTACTGGTTTAATTCCAATGTATTAGGAACAATGAACATTCTAGTATCAAGTGTGTTCCTATAATCCTATAAATCAACAGTGAATAGATGTTTACAAAATGTTTTATATTAAACTTCCTTCATCTTCTTCCTGAACAACCTAATTACTTCACTATACATGCCATAGTATTTTTAACATTGTTACATGACATTTGTTTTTAAGCATCATTTCCCATCATAGGAGGAAGAAGGAAAAGGTGATCTTTGTTACCAATAGGATGTATGTAGGTTCCTTGTGGGGCTTTCCCACAAGCTCAAATTTCAGTTAGACAGGTGCGCGTGCTACGAGTTTGAGAATGTATTCTTGCTGGATGGGATCAGATCGACAGGTGGTGGCTCAATGTTCAACTCATGTCTCAGTTCATCAAGGTTCTGCTCCCAGCGCCGTTCATAGAAGATGCTCAGAACACATCGGGCACGACTGCCATTGCGCAGCGCCCATGGTCCCAGAGACCGAACCAGCAACTGTAGACGACTGACTCCAACATATAGAGACAATATCAAATTTGACTTATTTATCCACACTGTAACATGATTTGTTGCATATGACTTTTTTTTTATTATTAAAAACAGCATAAGTTAAAGGTAATATCACAAATACTATCACAATTTTAAAAATGTTTGCATTACAGTAAATGACAATTTTAAGGAAAATGTTTGTAAAATATGTGAAATAAGATGTTTAAAAAATATACAGAAATGTATTTTTTTCCTTTTGATTTTAGGGTGAAATATGATAGTGATGTATGATTGAAATATGATATGAAGTTTTTGAGAGGTTCATCCACA